CACATCTTTGTATATTTTTTATGGCGCTTTCTTCAGCGAGCTCAATACCGCTTTTGAGGTGAGGTGAGGTGTTCACCTTAGAAGAATAAGAAGAAGAATGGAGCTCATTTAATAAGGAAATACAAAAAAAAAAAAAAAAATTTGTAATAACACACAATGAACTGATATTTCCAATAGCTGCACATACATCCCGCTTCACTTTAATAGGCACATTTTTTTTTCTAGCACCGAGCTTATATGTACATACACTGAACCACAAAAGTCTTCGTACAGAGAATTGTTCACAATGTATGACCTAACTCTCTGGACTTGTAAGCATCGTTTCGACGACCTATATTTTTTTTTAAGAAAAATGTTGAGATAAAGAATAATTGTGGCTTATTTATTGTTTTACAATATTATTATTCATTGTAATAGATTAGAGTTAATGTGGCGTATTTGTGCGCCGTATTTGTCGTTAGCAACTCAACTGCAAAAATTCGCTATTCACAGAATTACTGGATCAAAGATTTTATGGGCAAGCTATCCCGAAAAAACTTATAATCAGTCCTAAATTTGACCTATCATCGGATGATAAAAGCACCAAATTTAGCCAAAAAGGCTACATAGAAATTACAGCAGATCTATTGTAAGGTCCACTGCTTATTTTCGCGATACCAGACTAAAATTAAAGAGAAATGTGTGCCACAACAAGGCAAATTATGAATCATTTTAAGCATTTGAGCTCAGCAAATTTCAAAAATGGGGTACAAGTAAACGTACAACGTAAATAATAGCAAATGGAATTTTGTAGGATTTACAAAAATGTATCTCAAAAGGACAACAAGGAAAGTTCTGGTGTTCTCGGCTCTAACGAAATTTATCACCCCTATCGCCAAAACAAATTGGGTAAAATAATTTTTGTTTTGCTTTATAATTTTTAGGAATAATTTTTGGGATTTAAATAGACACCTTAAAGAAGTATGATATTTATGAAAAAAAGAAACAACTTTGGAAGTACTCCCCCAAGAGGCCTTCAATATCCTACAAGTGTTCTGGAAGCTCTTCTATGGCCAGCGGAAGTAGAAGCCCTTCAATTTAAGCTACTCCATACCAGAAAGAAAGGAGGAAGACCTTTTAAATCCAGAAACTATCTACTGGGTATTACAAATTTTTTTTGAAGTTGCAATAAAATAAAAAAAGCCCTTGTTTTTGTAGCGAAAGCAGAAGACCTTCAATTTGTGCCACTCCTTACAAAATAGAAAGGTGAATGGCCTTTTAGCTCTTGAAACTATTTACTAGAATATTTTTAAATATTTTTCTTGAACATGCCAGCGAATTACCACAAAAGCAAAATCTTGCAATTTTTGTAGTGGTCATATTACCGGACCTACAAAAATTGGCAAGGTGTCCTTAGAGTTCTGATCTGAATCTGAAGAGTCCGATCTAAGTACTAATGGCGAAATTAAAGTGAATAATTCCTTTGTGCGTCTTCTGTGTGCTAAGGTTCGTAGTATTATTTTATAAAAATAATTATTTTATAAAATTAATTAAGTAATAATTAAGCTAACAATTTAAGGTTTTTCTTCAAAAAAAAGAAAAGAAGCTTCTCCGATTTTTTAAGGAAAATGGAGTATGTATAAGCTGGGATCTCGAAGAAAAATTGTGCCTATCCAAGTGAAGCGGTGTGTATGCTATATATAGTGAAGACGAACTATATAAAAAAAAGCCATACTCTGTAGCAGGTATCTTAAATATTTTCAAATATTATCGACATTTCTAGATTTTTGTGCCTGGAAGACGAAATTTTTTCAAAATGCAAAAATGCATCTGGATGGTCGAGGAGTATTTCTGCATCAAATATAAAATTAAAAAAAAAACTGTTGCTTATGTTTTTCCCCCGATATAATGACTGAAATTTATAACCGGGCAACTGTCTGTTGTACCTCACTCACAAATGTTTACAAAGTAATATTAGAAGAAATATGTTTCGTTTTTTTAACAAAATTTATATCAAAACAAGTACGCGCAGTTTTTAATTAGTTCGCCAGCATACTGTGCGCATGCATGTAAAACGCGATTATTATATCGTTCTGTGGTTAGACTTGAAGTTTGCGGCTGCAATAGTAAATTCATATTAAAGCTGATATGCTAATATTTACACTTAATACTTAAGATATTATTTAATATAAATTAGTAATTATTAGATAATACGAGTTATATACAATAATTGTAATAAAAATAGTTTCTTTTGAGAAAATTACATTAGAAGCCCATTAAAAAAATATGCAAGAATTTACAATATCACAAAAACTCGGTATAAGAAAAAATAAATTGGCAAAATAGCAAGCGACAAAATATAAAATTTTAAGATTTTTTTTTTTTTCAATTGCTATATCTAAGATTTCCAATGAAGGTTTCTATAAACTTTTCACTTTCTATTAAGAATCCAGCACTTCATTCATTATTATTATGGGTATTCAAAGTACTCGAATTGCACTACTTAATAGCAGTTTGGCAGCACGAGTTAGATACAATAACTTTTTAACACTCTTAGCACAATTAGCCTGGGCGCTTGGAAGTCAACCTTTTCTTAGCAAGTAATTGCTTTTTAATTAACTATAGCTACTTTACTTACTATTTATCTCTTCAAATTCTTCTTTTTTGTTTTATACTAATTACATCATATCATGTCGCTTACACAAAAAAGAATATAAACAAACAGTATAAACAAATATGGTGATAATAGTGAGAACTCACAAAATACTTCCCAAAAAAAAAATAAAAATCGTAAACTTGGAAATAAATGTTTATATAAATTTTCAGTTAAAAAACAAAATAAAGCTTAAAGCACTACACTAACTACAGCAACAATTCAATTTTTTCTTGCATGGCTTGTAATGGATATCCCACATTTGC